GTACAGCATGCCCTGCAACCTACTCTATGACGAACGTCCGGAATCGAATGGCCTTCATCGCACTGGCCAGGCTGCACTCGCACAGCCCCAGGTTGACAATGCATGCGAAACTTGGACATGACTTTGAATTGAAGTGTTCTACGGTCTTGTAGAGATATCAGAGCCTCCTCACTGCCCCTTCGAACCACGCCCCGCACGACGTGGGCCTCAAGCAGAGCGAGAATTGCGGGAAACGCGAGGTGCGCGTCCTCGGCGGTCGTGCTCCCGGTATCATGACAGCCCCTTCCCGTCCTCGCCGCTGTCCTCGCTGACGACCCGAGCGGCGTGGATGGCCGAGTACCGGATCTTCCGCAGCTTAAGTTCGTCCCGGATTTGCGGCGCAATTGTGCGCCAGACGGGGTTGAGGGGCGTGTTGAGGGCGGAGTTGGGGGGCGTGTCGAGCACGAGGGTGGGCGGTCTTGACGGGGATCTTCTGGGAACGGCCGGTAGGACGAGAGAAGGTGTTCTCGGCAAACAAGCTGTTTTCGGCCCAGTCCGAGCAGTAGAGGACCTCGGTAGGGTCGGGGGCGATTCCGTGGTAGTGCATGAGTTTCTCGAACTCGGTGGGTAGTACTGGGGGATGACTACCGTCGCTCCCCTGCTCCCTCGCCGTCTCCAATGGCGCACTTGCTCACCACCTTCCGTGTTCACGACGGGTTCTGCACTCAAGCCCCAATTAATAGGATCTACTACGATACCAGGCTTGATATATAGGCGGCCTGAATAGGTCGGTACTCAAGAGTCTATGCAATGTCGCGCGTACTCGTACTCCTCATAGACTGCATTCGGGAACAAGGTGCATATGTGGCGGTAACTCTGCTCGGGATAATAGAAGCTAACAATCTTCAAGCATCTCACCTGAAGAGACTCGCAAACGGGGGTGTCTTCCGCAAATTTACCGCGCTCTAGATCTGCTAGCCGTTCCTGTACCACATTGCACACGCGTGCGCGCAAGCGACGGAGCCTTGAGCAACGCCTTGCGAGAGCGGTCAGCCCTGTCAGCGGGCACTTTGTCAGTTCGAGCTCCTCGAGAAGCGGCCAGCTGCGTGCCATCATTTCAACCTCAGCGGTGTTGAAAACCCTGTCGAGCTGGACAGCCTGCAGCCCGGAAAACGCAGCGAGAAGCGTGATGTCGGGCCCGATGTCCATTGTGTCCTCCATGTCTGACGTGTTGTCAAACACGCTATATGAAATGCGTAGCCGTTGCAACTGCGCTTTGTGGGATAGGGCTTCGAGCATCGCGACGGCATGGGCGGAGGAGTCCTCGCGGAAAATGATGGACAGTACTTCCAGCCTGGGGAAGCGAGTCTTTGCCTCTGCATTCGCGCTGTGCGTTGTCGCAAGCGGTCCCGATTTTCCATAGGTGTCCCGCATGCGGACGGTGCCGAGCACAGGCAGGGTCGACAGCGCATCCCATATATCCGGAGCGGCCGAGTTGATCGTGATGTTCTGCAAGCTTCGGAGCTTTGCCAGGATTGAGGCGTCGATGGTGTCGATGCTGAGGTATTCCAAAGTATCGACCAGGGTGGGAGTGGCGTCGAGCAACGGAGTGATAGTCCGGGGAGACATGGGGCGTGAAGGGTAGAACTCAATATTCCGCAGGTGATCGCTCCCAAAGAGCGACAGGGCTTCTGTGCGCTGCAAGATGACATCATCGACCCAGAGCGCCTTGAGCCTGGGGAACAGCCAGGCGCGCGGGCGGCTGGTTAGGATTCTTCCGTATACAGAAGGCAAAATCCGCCTTCTGCCTTGACCGTGATTTGACAGCATGTTGTAACGGCTACGGCTGGATTTGTCGTACCGTGACGAGAAAGTGTAGAGGTTTTTGACTCTGGAGGTCAGGTGCATAACACCGTCCCACTCAGACTGCTCGATGTCACGTAGCAGAACCTGGAAGCGAAGGCCCAAATGAGTCATGCAGTAGATTCTCGAAAAAAAACAACGATTGCACGCACAAAGACCGGGTTCGTTAAGTCGCGCATGGATTTCGCACTCTTGATGACGCTCGGAATGACTGCTTCATCATGGCAGTGATCTGGCTCGAATGGCCCTAATTCGAACGGGTTCTCGTCGCGCTGCATGGAGGACGCTGAGTGAGCGCACTGTGGTCAATCTATCCCGACGCTATGGTACTCACCTCGCGGAAGCACCACACGTCATCGGGCAGGAGCCGAAGCACAGCGAGAAGGCTGGCATGCTCCCATAGATAATTTGCGGTGAGGTTGTGCCATTGCCGACTAACGCGTGCGGCGCTGGCGAGGTTGACGCGAGCATTGCTGGCTTTCGCAAGGAAGCTGAGCACGATGTCGAAGATTTCGACCGGCAGCGCGTCCATGCGCGCGTGCTGCGTGTCGACGATGAGTGATAGTTGTCGTAGTAGAAGGCCTACTGGCGGTGAGTGGCGGCGTGGATGACGGGGTGGTAGAGATATAGATAGACATGGTCAGTGCGAGCGAGCGCTTATAAGGGCTGCGCCACGCAGTGCTTGGTCCTGAGGCCTGAGGCTGTGAGGAATTTGTATTGTGATTCGCCATAAATTGCGCACGAGAGAAAGAATGAAGAGTTTTGTGGCGCAACGGGTCCGAGCATTATGACAGTAAGTTAATGGCGCACAGCTTTCGCCCGTTCGCGGGCAGCGGCTCAGCACAAGCTTTTTCAGACAGTCGACGACTTCCTTCTCCGCATTGCTGGTCATTGCGCGCGAGGCGGAGCATGACGATGTTCTGGCCCATCATGATGAGGCGAGTCTCTCGAAAGATTCGGCCTATGTCTGCATCTGCTGCAAGATCATGCATTGCGCGAAGTCTCGGAAGCTCGGGGAGCAGCCTTGTCAATTATTTTACAGGGACATCGAGCGCAAAGTTCTGAAGACTACGGGCCCTCGGCGAGTTTGTCACCATGGGCAACCTTGAGGTCGTCGGCGAGCTTGAAGTCGTCGTCGAAGAGCTGGGGGCCGTGGACGAGCTTGAAGCCATCCGGGAGCTTGAAGCCGTCGGCGAACTGGAAGTTGCTGGCGAGCTTGGAGCCGATGGAGAGCTTGAAGCCATCCGGGAGCTGGAAGTCGTCGGCGATCTCGAAGCCGTCGTCGGCGAGCTGGAAGTCGTCGGCGAGCTAGAAGTCGTCGCCGGCGAGCTGGAAGTCGTCATCGGCGAGCTTGGATCCGTCGGTGAGTTTGAGGCCGTCCGGGAGCTGGAAGCTATCCGGAGAGCTTGAAGCCGTCGTCGGAGAGCTGGAAGTTGCTGACAAGCTGGAAGTCGTCGTCGAAGGGCTTGAAGTTGTGGGGCGTGTTGAAACCGTCGTCGGCGGGTCTGAAACCGTCGTCGAAGGGCTTGAAGTTGTCTGGAGTTTGAGGTCGTCAGGGAGCGTGAGATCCTCGGCCAGCTTGAAGCCGTCGTGCAGCTTGTAGCCGTCGGCGAGCTGGAAGTCGTTGGCGAAGGGCTTAAAGTTGTGGGGCGTGCTGAAGTCGTCGGCGAGTCTGAAGCCATAGACAAGCTTGAAGCCGTCATTGGTGAGCTCGAGGTCGTCGGCGAGCTTGAGGCCGTCGTCAGCGATCTTGAGGCCGTCGTCAGCGATCTTGACGTCGTGGACGACCCTGAAGTCGTCGGAGAGCTTGAAGCCATTGTCGGCGATCTTGAAGTTGTCGAGAAGTTTGAGGCCATTGTCGGAGAGCAGGAAGCCATCAGGGAGCTGGAAGTCGTCGCCGGGGGCATAGAGTCGTCGGCGAGCTTGAAGTCGTTGTTGAAGGGCTTGAAGTTGCCGAGGAGGTCGAAATCGTGGGCAAGGTTGAAGGCGTCGGAGAGCTTGAAGCCATAGGCGGGCTTGAAGCCATGGCGAGCTTGAAGCCGTCGGGGAGTTCGAAGTCGTCGGCGAGCTTGAGGCTATGGGATTGTGAAGCCTTCGACGAGCTTGAGCCATCGAGGAGCTTGCAGCCATACGCCAGTATGGAGCTCCGTCTTGGCATCCAATGCGCCGTCTGACATCTGCGCGCGCACGTCAACACCATCCATATCAGCAAAGTCTGCTATACAACGCACTTTGTTCTCTCGCAGTTACATCGACTGCTATCTGTCGCCTCCGACGGCATCCTCCCCGGTCGCCTCGACGGCTTCCCTCTGTTCGCGGCCTCCTCGATGGCTATCCCTGGTCGCGGCGTCCTGGACGGCTACCCCAACTGCGTCGTGTCGACTGCTACTTCCCCCGTCGCCACAGGGTCGCCCTCGACTGCATTCCCGATCGCGTCCACTGCTTTCCTGGGCGGCACGGGGACAAAGACCATGGGCAGGACGACGGCTATGTGCTGCGCGAGATCTATGGGCGGAACCAAGGGTACGGACTGAGCGAGGGCAGGGCTGGGGGCTGAGAGAGTAGCTCCATGGGCGGGGACGAGGGTGGGCTATGTTCTGAGCGAGGGCTAGCCATGAGCGGGACGAGAGCAATGAGCGGGACGAGGGCTATGGGATGGACGAGACGAGAGATATGGGCGGGACGAGGGTACACAAAGCCGTGGAGGCGCGACGACAGACGTGTTAAGGGCAGAATTCGGACTGCCGGACCGAGGACGTCTGCGTGTGTCTTCCCCTTCCCCCTCCTTCCTCCTTCCCCCATCTCCCAGGTCCCTCCTCCACCATCTCCCTCCTCCCCGTCTTCTCTTTCCCTCCTCCTTCCCCCATCTCCCTTCTCCCTCCCTCCTCCCTCCCTCCTCCTGCCCCCTCCTCTCTCCTCTCCCCGCTTCGCCTCACCCTCCCCGGCCCCCCACTCTCGTTCCCTCCTTGCCCTTCCTCTCTTCCCTCATCCCCTCATCCTTCGCTTCTCCCTCCCCTTCTCTCCCAACATCCCGCCCTTCGCCCTCCTTACCCCCCCCCCCCCTTCCCGTTCTTCTCCCCCTTCTAATTTTCCGTACACCTTTTCCACGCGCCTTCTATTTCCACGCGCCTTCTATTTCCACGCACATCGCTCCTCATGGCCGCCTGGCGTAATGGCAACGCGTCTGACTACGATCGCAGCATCCTCTGGGAATTGTATATCAGGAGATTGCAGGTTCGACCCCTGCGGTGGTCACTCGAAGGTCCTCATCGTTCTTTTTATCGTTATTTTCGATTTCGTTTTTGGGTTGTGGCTTCTGCGTGCGAGTGTTATGAGTACCCATGCGAGTGCTATGAGTACCGCATGCAAGTGACATGAGTTCCGCGTGCGACTCCTCGTCCTCTCTCCTCTTCCTCTGCTTTTCTTCCCCATCCTCTCACTCCCACTTCCCCTTCCGCTCGCACGTTTTCCCTCCTCCCTTTCGTTTGTTTCCTTTCCCCTCCCACATCCTCCCTCGCTACACCTTCACTCCTCGCTACCCCATCCTCCGTCCGAGCTACCCCATCCTCCGTCCGAGCTACCCCGTCCTTCTCTCTCGCTCCCACATCCTCCCTCCGAGCTACCCCATCCTCCCTCCGAGCTAACCCCATCCTTCGGGCTCTTTACTTGCTTAATGTGCGCTGTCCGCGTTGTTCAAGGTCGCTTGCGCGTCGTTCAAGGTCGCTTGCGCGTCGTTCAAGGTCGATTGCGTGTCGTTCAAGGTCGATTGCGCGTCATTCAAGAGCGATTGCGTGTCGTTCAAGGTCGATTGCGCGTCGTTCAAGAGCGATTGCGCTGTCGTTCAAGTTCGCTTGCGTGTCGTTCGAGGTCGATTGCGCGTCGTTCAAGGTCGATTGCGCGTCGTTCAAGGGCGATTGCGCGTCGTTCAAGGATTGCGCGTCGTTCAAGGGCGATTGCGCGTCGTTCAAGGATTGCGCGTCGATCAAGGTCGCTTGCGTGTCGTTCAAGGTCGCTTGCGTGTCATTCAAGAGCGATTGCGTGTCGTTCAAGGTCGATTGCGTGTCGTTCAAGGTCGCTTGCGCGTCGTTCAAGGTAGCTTGCGCGTCGTTCAAGGATTGCGCGTCGTTCAAGAGCGATGGCGTGTCATTCAAGGTCGCTTGCGTGTCGTTCGAGGTCGCTTGCGCGTCGTTCAAGAGCGATTGCGTGTCGTTCAAGAGCGATTGCGCTGTCGTTCAAGGTCGATTGCGCGTCGTTCAAGGTCGATTGCGCGTCGTTCAAGGTCGATTGCGTGGACGAGCCTGGTTGATTGCGTGGACGAGCCTGGTTGTCGCTCAGGATTGAGCGCGCGGACGTGGCTCAAAATCGAGCAGTCAGACGTGGCTCAAAATCGAGCAGTCAGACGTGGCTCAAGATCGAGCACGGTCCCCCAACCGCGACGAGCACCTCAGAGACAAGTATAGGGTCGGAGATGAAGTAGAGGGTCGGAGATGAAGTAGAGGGTCGGGCATGAAGTAGAGGGTCGGGCATGAAGTAGAGGGTCGGAGATGAAGTAGAGGGTCGGAGATCAAGTAGAGGGTAGAGGGTCGGAGGTGAAGTGTACACAGACGGTGACGAGGCCGGATGTTTAGGGCGTCCTGGCGGGCATCGATAGTCTCGTGAATCATCCGGCATCGAGCCCCGGGGAGGACGTCCCAAAAGGTCATGGCGACGTGCGCAAAGCGTTCGCGGCGTACAAGGCGTAAGTACACGGCGGTCGAAACCAAGTGCCGCTTGTACCGTGTCAATGACGTCACGGTCGATCATGAGCGTAACGTCGAGGATCCGCCACCGCGTGAGCCTGCGACCACTGCCAGCCAGCATACCTCTCGACGCCTCGTTCGAGACCCCTTCTAATCCCTCGCAGCGTGCTGGTCGGAGGAAGTCGAGACTAGCCTGCATAATTGATAACGCACCAAATTATTCAAGAGTGATGGCGTTCCAATTTGCACCATCGAGCGATCAGATTCACTGTCTACCCTCTGTATGTGAGTCCGTCAGAAATTGTACGCGAGTAAGCCACGTCCTCCGATTCCATTACATCCGCCGCCTCTTCCTCGCACGCAACCCTCTTGCCGACAGCTGCTCCTCCTTTTCCATAACTTGCGCCACCGGCCCCATCGTCTGCTGCTCCGGCTCCTTCGTCTTCTGCTTTGCCACCTTCGTCTGCACTTCGCCTTCCCAGATGCGTGCCTCCTCCTTCGCAACGCACGCCTCCTCCTTCGCGACGCGAGCCTCCTCTTTCGCGACGCGAGCCTCCTCTTTCGCGGCGCGAGCCTCCTCTTTCGCAACGCGAGCCTCCTCCTTAGCGACACCGGCCTCCTTCGCGATGTGTGCCTCCTCCCGCGCGGCTTCGACGTCCTGGCGCAGGTCGTCCGCACCCGCAGCGCGTTCGTCCGCAACCGCAGCGCGTTCGTCCGCAACCGCAGCGCGTGCGTGCGCCATCACCAGCCGGTCCGTTAAGACATCCAAAACGGCCTTCACTCCTTGCATGTTCGCATTGAACCTGAGATCGAGTGGACCGCCCGGGATACGCGATCGCCAATACACACGCAACCGCCAATACACACGCAATCGCCTATACACGTAATGGGGGTTGGGACCGCCGATGTAGGAGAGGTATGAGTCGGGGCCGCTGGGTGTTAACAATTGGTCGCTGGGGACGACCTGGCCGTTTAGGACTATATGGCCGCCGGGAATTAACTGGTCGATCGGGACAGCTGAACCAAATGACGCCGCGGCTTGCGAGGGCGGCGCCTGGATAGTCGCGGGCGGCGTCTGGATGGACGGAGGAGCGTATGCTGGTCCCCGCGGCGTCGAGGCGGTCGGGGCCAGCATCGAGACGTTGACCGATGGTATCGAGAACGCGGGAGGTCTCGCCGCGTTCAAGCCCACGGGCATCGACCCGTTCTTGCTCGACATGGACGCATTCATACCCGACATCGATGTGTTCATGACAGGCGTCGGCACGCTCATGACAGGCGTCGAGGTGTTCGTGACGGGCGTGGAGGTGATCATGCCCGACATCGACGCGTTCGCCGCTGGAATGGACGCGTTCGTAGTTGGAATTGACGCGTTCGCAGTTGGAATTGACGCGTTCGCGGTCTGCATGAAGCCAGGGCCAGGTCTGTGTGACATTGCGTGAGGAAGTGGACGTTGTTGACATAGGCATTATACGCACACCGTGACTGACGATCCTCTGAAGTCTCCCGGGCCGGACAAGCCGCCGTCGTTGGACATGCTGATCAAGCGCGAGGACAGGCCGCGGGCGACCTGGGCGCCGGTGTCCTGAGAGGTGGCGACGGGCGGGGCATGAGGACGTTCGATGCCCCCGTATGCAGACCATGCGTGACCTTGACGCGACTCATGCGCCGGTGAACCGGTACGCTGTATCAACAGTGTGAGTATACATGTCGAGAAGCACTCTGAACGCAACGCACCTGTGCTGAGCACTGCCCAGCGACCGTCGTCGCAGTCGACGTAGGATCCCAATTCCCATCTCCATCCTTTCCTTCTCCATCTTTCCGAATGCCAGAAGATAGAAGAGCTTCGGTAGGCATGAGAGTGACCTGCAGAGGGTGCGCTTGTCGAGCAATATGTCGAGCGGCAGTCGTTCAAGGACGTCGGTCTATTATCGACGGAGGAGGCGACGAGAAGTCCAAGAATCAGAGCCCCATTTTATATCGCGCGGTCAGGGTGTTTGTCATAGGTGCCATCAGCGAGAGAGGCGGTCGTTGCGTGCATGGCGGGTGTCCGAGCGGCAGAAGATATGCGCAAAGCGTTCGCGGCGTACAAGGCGTACACGGCGGTCGAAACCAAGTGCCGCTTGTACCGTTACGTCACGGTTGAGCGTAACGTCGAACAGTTCCGCCACTCCTCCAGATCCGCGGCCGGCATGCCTCAAGACGTCTCCTTCGACTGCCCTTCTCATCCCTCGCTACGCGCCAGTTTGAAGAAGTGAGAAGAAGATTGCATAATTTATGTTGCTTCGAAATACCCAAGACTGATAAAATGTGTCGCCAAATCGTATAGATGAAGCATAAATATCCCTGGTCCCACTGCTGTTTCGACAATCAGTACCCCTCGAGCCGCCCGCTCATGTACATCACAGGCCCTCCGTTCATGTACACCTCAAAAAGCGTCCGTTCATGTACACCTTGAGCTATTGTCCAGTCTACACCTCTTGCCTCTCGCTCACGCGGCGTGGATTGCCGCGACCAGAACGTCCAGCGCGGCCATCTGGCCCCAAGTCGTGAAGCCCTGCGGCGGCCCCGCCCACGCGCTCGAGTATGTGTACCCCGTCGCTGCAAGGTCGAGCAGAGCGTTGAACTGTGAGTCGCGTCAGTCGTATCGCAGCGACTCTTAAGCCAAACCACTCACCTGCACGCAAACATACGAGTGGATCAAGATACGCAGCGCCTCGTTGTCACCCTGCCGGCGGTTATATGCTTCGTCGAGCGCACGGAGCAGGATGGACTTGAACCCGACGCCGTCGTTGTTGGAGTCTGGGGATGCGCCCTCGGTGATCACGCCGTCGCTGCCTGCGGGGTGGGCGTTAGCCAAGGGCATGGTGAAGTGTCAGCCGGAGCAGGTTGCAGTTAGCCAGTGCAGATCGCAGTCTCGACAGCGGCGCAAAGGCGACCAATTGCCCTGCCACGCGCGCCCACTCACCCTGCCACGCCGTCGTCTTCATGGCCGCGTTTGCCACATACGCGCCCAGACTCTTCCAGCTCGCGTCCCCGGTCACGTCCGCCAGCACGTTCAGGCCCTCGATGAACTTGCCGCTATTGTACGTGAAGAGCCTGTAGGGGGGAGGGGAGGATGGGCGTCAGCGGCCTGTGTTTGTTACGGTATGCATTCGGATGTCAGATGCACGTGCCAACGGAAGATGCACTTCCAGACGGAAGATGCCCCGTCAAACACTCACCACCCCGCCGCCGACCGCGAGCAGTCCGTCGCCACCACCGAGTCCAGCACGATATAGTCGTCCCGCATGTTCACGTTCCTGAGGGGACAGATTGGTTAGCTTTCCGTGTCGGAGATGGGGGATAGACGCGGTGTGGACAAGGGATAGACGCGGTGCAGTGGACGAGATGGGTGATAGACGTGGTGTAGACGAGATGGGGGATAGATCTATCCGTATCGGAGACGAGGGATACATCTATCCGCTCGTAGACGTGGAATAGACTTCATCCGCGTCGTGAACGAGGGAATAGAGGCGTGGGCCGCACGGGCACAAATCATCCGGGGAGACAAAGAAAAATCATCATCCGGGGAGACGGGACCAAGAAAAATCATCCGGGGAGACAAAGGCCGAGCCTCGAGGCGACTAATCGAAACCAACTCACCTAATCCAGTTCGCGCTCCGGATCGCCGCGTCGGTGTACTTTGCGTCGCCCGTCGCTTCGGCAAGGTAGGCGGAGAGGGTGAGGTAGAGGCTGGGTGTGTGGGGGGGGGGGGGGTGGGGGGGGGGGGGATGTTAGCGTGAGTGAGCGCGTTTAGGTAGATTGAATGGGTGAGATTGGATAGGGTGAGTGAGTTTTAGGTAGGGTGAGTGAAACAAGGTAGGGAGAGTGAGGGGTGGGGGTGTCAGTTAGGGACATGGGTGATAGCGAGAGGGTAGAACCATAAATCTTAGAGAGTAGAAAGATAAAACTCAGAGGCCGGGTAGGAGGGGGTAGAAAGATAAAACTTTCAGAGGCTGGTAGGAGGATATATGCCTAGAGAGGAGGATGTATGCCGCAGAACTCACCCTGTCGTCACGCTGTTGATGCTCATGTCGCCGGTCTCGGCTCGCTGTGGAAGAGGTATGGATGAGTAGGGGACAGGGTATGGATGAGCCGCGGGAGGGAGATGTGGATGAGTAGGGGACAGAGTATGGATGAGTATGCGGGAGAGGTATGGATGAGCCGCGGGAGAGGTGTGGATGAGTATTATATATGAGAGTGGTGAAAAAAGATATACGAATGAAGCTTACCCAAAACACGCCGCCGACCATGCTTTCTGTGCAAGACGATCAGTATCGGAGAAGCGATACAGTGATCGTCGGCGGAAAGATGGGTATCGGCAGAACAAGAAGGACTGCGTCGCCACCAGCCGATCCAACAAACAAAGCCCACAACACGAACAGAGCCCATTCCAACGAACAGAGCCCATTCCAACGAACAAAGCCCGCGTCACGAACAAGGCCCGCGCCACGAACAGAGCCCGCGCCACGAACGAGGCACACGCCACGAACAGAGCCCGCGCCACGAACGAGGCCCACGCCACGAGCAAAGCCCACACCGCGAACGAGGCCCACACCGCGAACACAGCCCACACCACAAATAAAGCCCACGCCCCGAACAAAGCCCACACCACGAACAAAGCCCGAGCCACGAACAAAGCCCACGCCCCGAGCAAAGCCCGCGCCCCGAACAAAGCCCACACCGCTAGCAAAACCTGGCACACCACAAACAAAGCCCAAGCCACACACGCACCACCATCGCACGTCCCCTGAAAGCTGGGGGTCTTCGTCGATATCCTTCCCGCGTTGGCGGCGTCCTGGGTGACGGCGCTGGTGGGAAGGTCTGAGTCAGTGATCAGTCGGAGGAAGGTCCGAGTCAGTGATCAGTCGGAGGAAGGTCGACGAAGACGTGGAGAAGGTCGACGAAGACGTGGAGAAGGTCGATGAGGAGGGGGGACATGGAAAGCGAGAAGGCGAAGAGGGAAAGTGAGGATGCGAAGAGGGAAAGTGAGGATGCAGAGGGAGGGCAGTGAGGAGTCGGAGGGAGGGAAAGCAAGGAGACGGAGATGGAAAGTGAGGATGCGGAGAGGGAAAGCAAGGAGAAGGAGAGGGCAAGCGAAGACGTGGTGATGGAAAGCGAGGCCATGGAGAGGGAAAGCGAGGAGAAAAAAAGAATGACGCAAAGGATATGGAAAGCAATCAAGGAAAAAAAAACACAACGCAAAAGATATGGAAAGGCAAAGGATATGGAAACGCAAAGGATATGGAAACGCAAAGGATATGGAAACGCGAAGGATATGGAAACGCAAAGGTTATGGAAACGCGACGACACAAAGAAGGAGAAGAAGTAGTCGAAAACGCACTAGGTGCTCACGTGCTCCCACGTCTTCACGGCATGGTCGAGGAGGCTCGTGTCCCCGTACGCGCGGTAGCCGTAGTATGCGGCGGTGGCCCACCACCTGTGAGACTTTGTCAGTTTTGCGTGAGAAGGAAAGGGGGAGTGTAGATCTGGAGAGAGGGTGAAGGCGCATCTCGGAGACACGGCGCACACTGGAGCGGAACGAGGTGTGTTTCAAAGCGAGAAGGCGAAACAGAGAACGTACATGGCATCATCATTATACTTTCAAGTGCGAGATAAGTTCAGCACTGCTGCAATGATATAGAGGTACGCACGCTACGGCAGGATCAGCAAGCGCTTGTGAACTGCATATCGGAGCGCACTCACCCCCACTCGTCATAGTTTTCGTAGAGGCTGAAGGCGTTGTTCAACTGGGGGACTACCTGAGAGTAGTAGCCCGTGGAGCCGGCGCGGTAGTCGTGGTTCGCCATGGATGCCCTAAAGTGAGGAATCGCGTCAGCCAGGAGTTGCACGCTTCGATGCGTGGCGTTGCAGTCCACGAAGCCACCTTGGGACATGCAGGTGCTGCGGCGAGACGACCACACACTCACCAAACATTCCCCGACTGCCAATATCCTATCCCGTCAAATTGCGCATTGGCCGTATTAAGTTGGGGGAACATGTACGCGATGGCGCCCTGCGAGATGCCCACGATCTCGGATACGGGGCGGCTGTTGCTGAATTTCTGTAAGTAGCGAGTGTGAGATACGTGCATTCAGATGTGGACAGGATATGACTCGCTCTCCAGCTTAATGGGACGCCCAGGTCCTGTGCGGCGGACAAGGAAGCGAGCGAGAGGGACAAGGAAACGAGCGAGAGCGCCGCCAGGCGGGAGAAATGGGACATCATGATGGTGAAAGGTCAGACTTGTAATGCTGGAAGCAGCTGCGCGCCTTATATACTTACGCCATGCCATTCACTGGGGCTGCCGACTTCGGTCTTCGGTGCCCGATGTGACGATGTCGAACAGCGGGCGCTTCTCAGGACCTGGCCGTCCTGAAAGCGGATACAGGGCCGGTATACGCGCACAAGGGTACATGGTATGTCCGCAGGGGAGTGCGACATGGCCGCTTCAACAACAAAACACTCGGAAGGCGTCGCACCTTGAATAGACATCGTAGGGAACGTGGGCTGACCGTGACTCCACTGAAGTTTGAACGCGAAGATGATTTCGTTCAGAAGCCTGGACATAGCAGTGCTATATATCCCGCGCGTGTGTGGCGCGCTACGTGGCTCTGTATATCTGGGACATTCACTATTCCACAACCTTCGCGACAACTGGGTGGACTCACTGTACTACATCGCGGCCTCAAGCAACCCTTCATTGACTTCACCGCATGGAGTCGTATGCATCAGACATATTCATGATTGCGATGGACGAATGAATGCATGCTCAGGCTGCATGGGTACCAGATGATGAACGTTAGAACCAAGTCTGAATTGGGCAGCGTTTCCATCACCCTCAAGTCAAAACATACGCAAACAAGAGACATGCGCCAATCGTCGCTTGAACCGGCACGTCACAGCTGACTTGAACGATGTCGATGAATATAATTATTGAATGTTCGCCGTCCGCCACCCGATCTTCTCTGATGCCCTCGTGCAATATCGCTACGCGCCATTTTGAGGAGGTAGGCAGTAACCTGCAAGATGCATACAGCCCCGAGATACCAAGACTGGTCAAAGACGACCCCAAATCGATATCTGTACGTCGTATTCTGCTTGACTCGAGGCCTGCTGATGCAAAAAATGCAGGATGCGACCCAGAGGGATGGGAAACATGACAAAAGGTTATGGCGACGTCCCAAAAAGCGCTGACTCAAATATTCATTGACCACCGCAGGGGTCGAACCTGCAATCTCCTGATTACCTTAGCCCACAATAGCCAAACAAATCGTAGTCAGACGCGTTGCCATTACGCCAGGCGGCCATGAGGAGGCATGCAGGCGTGGGGGATAGCCTGAGTGGGTTAGACATGTTAAGCGTGAGGTAGACGTGTTGAGCGTGAGGTGGACGTGTTGAGCGTGAGGTAGACATGTTGAGCGTGAGGTGGACGTGTTTGAAGGTGGACGTGCTGAGCGTGAGGTGGACGTGTTGGAGGGGGAGGGAAAGGAAGGGCGGGGCGGAAAAGGGCGAGGGCCTGGGCATGGTAGCGCGAGAGACGAAGGAAGTGCGATTGGAGACGAAGGGGAGACACCGTATGTAGTATGCGGACAGGGTGACGGTGGCGAGGTATACGCGGACAGTGACGAGCATTGACGAGGCGTACGCGAGCGGAAAGGAGAGGCTGGAATGTGGAGAAAGGACGACGGAGGCAAGCGCGCACCGACCAACGATCGGACGCGGTCGACCGCACGCTCGATGGTGGGTTCCAGATGGGTTGTCCTCCGACACCGAGCTGGTGTGCGCTTCATCCCACGGCGTCGCCAACGCGGCTCCCGGTCGTCGTCCGACGCATCTTTCAATCCAATCTCGCTCGTCCTACTTACGCGTCCTAGGACGCCACATGATGCATGATGACTTGCTCCTAACCCCCAGTTCCGCCGGGCTATTGTTTCGATTCGCGCACCATCTCCGAGTCCCGCGACCACTCTCGGTTCACTGAATTGAAAACACGATACAGCCAGACAAGTTGCAGACTGCGTACCGTGTACTTGGAGGATAGATCATGCCACCGAGCGGCGCAGCTGCTGTTCTGACGCGTCGGACGCAGCTGCGCCTTTAGGTACACGCACTTGTCTGGCACTGGGCATGTGCTACCACTGATCCTGATCCAACTCGACAGTATGTAACTTCGGGTTTGCCCAGAGCTCGCGAGTCGCCATGCAGTGTTGAACTTCGAATTCGCATCGGCGCACCCAAAAACTGCAACATGACGTCGGGCGTTACGCGCGTTTCCGAGAGATCGTCGGTCCTACTGCACTGAGAACTATACTGATTCCTGCAAGACGTGAAGGAAGTTCCTGCAAGACGTGTAGGATAGCTCTGGAGGACAGTTAACTTGCGGGACAGGTAAGCGCTAAGCATCTGGGCCAGCTAGTCGAGGTGAAGCGGGAGCGGCCCGGGAGTCGCGACCCTCAGTTGACGCGCGGATAGCGTGACATCAGCCACGGCGCTCCGCTTGGACCGCCCCACCGGCGATCGCCGAGGTCCCTTATATACGACCTCGCTCGCGGCCCAATCGCCCCCAGATCTCTCTCCGCTCGCCTGCAATCATCATGTCCAACGTATTTGTGAGTTGGCTGGTTTTCTTATCTTGGATTGCTGGGTGTCTGGGGTGCGTTATGAATGTGGATGTATGCGCGGCGAAGCGGGTGTCTTCCATCTTTGCGACCGGGCGATGGGACGCGATGGGGATGGGATGGGCGGCGATGGCCTTGGTTCGGGCGCGGTGGCATTGCCTCGCGGGTCCTGGCCGCTGGAGGCGCGGCGGGGCGAGACGGTCAGCATGCGATGGAAAAGCGGATGTATGCACGACGCGATCGAGCTACACTGCAATTGAATGGAACGCGCGGCGCACGGGTCGTCGACGCGATCGCGGGGACGGGAGGACGTAGAGGCAACGCGCGACGATGAGGACAGACGCTGCAGGCGGGTCGGGCAACGTCGGATGCAGCGCGCGCGCGTCTGCGGAGTCGGATGACGCGATGGGCGACCACTGCGTCATTGGCGCACCTGATCATGGCTGCGCGCGCTGTCGGCCAGACGATGGCGGCAACGGCGCGTCGGTCTCTCGCGCTCGCGCCCCTCTACCCGCCCACCCTTCTCACCCAAAGACCACCTCCCCCCATCCCCCACTCATTCCGTTTCCTCCCCACACACACTCGCTCATCCCTCCGCCCACACTCGCTCATCCCTCCCCTCCCACATCCCCAACTAACCCACTGCCCCCCAGTTCGACATCACCAAGGACGGCGCGCCCCTCGGCCGCGTCACCTTCAAGCTCTTTGACGACGTCGTGCCCAAGACCGCGAAGAACTTCCGCGAGCTCGCGACCGGCGAGCACGGCTTCGGCTACCAGGGCTCCGGCTTCCACCGCATCATCCCCAACTTCATGCTCCAGGGCGGCGACTTCACGCGCGGGAACGGGACCGGCGGGAAGAGCATCTACGGCGAGAAGTTTGCGGGTGAGTGGGGAGGTCTGTTGTGTTCGCGAGTCGGGAGCTGCAACGAGTCGGGAGCTGCAACGAGCCGGGAGCTGCACGAGCCGGGAGCTGCAACGAGTCGGGAGCTGCACGAGTCGGGAGCTGCAAGAGAGGGCCACTGCAAGAGAGGGCCACTGCACGAGTCGGGCGCTACACAGATCGGGAGCTACGCAAGCCATCATCCCACCTCCATCTCCGTCCCCCACACACATAGCCCCCACATCTCCTTCCTCTCCACCTCCCATTTTTTTCTCTCTCGACTGACCGTCCCATTTCACTCGACTGACCCCTCCCATTTTTCCCCCTCGGCTGACCCTCCCATCTGTTACCTCGACTGACGCCTCCCATCTTTTCCCTCGACTGACCCATCCCCCCAGACGAGAACTTCCAACTCAAGCACACGAAGCCGGGCATGCTCTCGATGGCGAACGCGGGCAAGAACACGAACGGCTCGCAGTTCTTCATCACCACCGTCGTCACCAGCTGGCTCGATGGAGCGCATGTGGTGTTTGGTGAGTGTTTTCGCCGGGGTGTTGGGTTCTCGGGCGGTGGTGTTGGGTTTCATACAGTGGTGGTTGTTATGGTGGTGGTTGCTAGGCTTGATATGGTGGTGGTTGCTAGGCTTTCATGCCACACGAGAGACCGCCCTTCACGAGAGACCGCTCTTCACGAGAGCGAGAAGTTTTGCGCCCCAACCGTCCCTGCCTCTTCACCCGTCCCAAGCCTCTTCACCCGCCCCTGCCTCTTCGCCCTCCTTCGCCTCTTCACCCGCCCCCAACCCTCTTTGGCCGCTCACTAATCCGGCTCTTTGGGCTCTCACTAACCCGGCTCCTTCAGGCGAGGTCGTCGAGGGCATGGACATCGTGAAGACGATCGAGGGCCTCGGCTCCGCGTCGGGCACGCCCAAGGCGGACATCAAGATCGCCAAGTCGGGGACCGTTTAGGTCGTCTAGTCGGGTACCGTCTAGATCGCCTAGTCGGGGACCGCTAGGTCGCCTAGTCGGGACCCGCTAGGTCGTCTAGTCGGGGACGGTCTAGATCGTCTTCCTTCCTTTCGGGCGCGTTTCTGTGCGCGCGTTCGTTGGAGGTTGGCGCGTTCGTTGGGAGTTGGCGCGTTTGTCGGGGGTTGGCGCGTTTGTCGGGGGTTGACGCGGTAGTACCATGTTGGGAGGTACAGGTGCGGTGGCGCGACGAAAGGGAAAACGGAAAAAAGCAGCAGAATTTTGTAAATTTGTGATATTATATTTTTCGGGGTGTGCGTTGGGGCGCCGGAGCTTTTGTGTGAGTGTGAGTGTGGGTGTGGGTGAAGAGAGGGGAGGTTGAGGGGGTGTGATGGTGTGGGTAAAGAGAGGGGGTGGGGAAGGTGTGAGTGCGGGTAAAGAGAGGGGGTGGGGAGAGGGGGTTCAGAGAGTAGGTGGGGAGAAGGGGGTAGGCTCGAGGGCGTCTAGGTTGAAGAGGGCGGCTAGGTCGAAGAGGGCTTCTAGATTGAAGACAGCGCCGTGACTGACAGCGGCGTCGTGACTAGTAGGGATCAGTCTTAGCCAGTGGTGGAGGGCGAAGAGGAGGTTCTCAGGGACGTAACAATGAGAGGAGGCTTGAATCTCGCTGCCTCCTGGCACGCCGGCGAGTAATGCAGGGACGCGAGTAATGCAGGGACGCGAGTAATGCAGGGACGCGAGTACTTAATGCAGGGATGCGAGTAATGCGCGGCAGGGACTCTTGAGAGGGGAAGGAGAGTAGGAAGAATTGACGGAGAAGGAGAGTAGGAAAAGTTGAGGGAGAGTAGGAGGAATTGACGGAGTGGGCGAGGAGAGTTCAATCAGACTCTGCCAGAACTGAAATAAGCATCGGAGGCTGTTGGATGCGATCAAGGTGGAAGGCTCTTACTTACTATACCGTACGGACAACTATACCGTACAGACAAGTATACCGTACGGACAAGTTACAACTATACCGTACGGACAACGAAGCGCGCCCCATAGTCGTATAGACCTGAGCGCATAGTCGTATAAACCTGAGCGCAGCGCACAATTGATTGACCGGTGAACGGTAAGTAACCTCTCGAATTAGCAACTGTGTTGGGAGACTGGCAACTGTGTTGGGAGACTAGCAACTGTGTTGGGAGACTAGCAACTGTGTTGGGAGACTAGCAACTGTGCTGCATACGTCGATGATGATGGTTTTCTAGGTCACATAAGGAATATATGCAGCTATGCTACATACGGGATATGCTACATACGGGATATGCCACATACGGGATATGCTACATAAGGAATACTTATGCTACATACGGGATATGCTACATACGGGATATGCTACATACGGGATATGCTACATGCGGGATAAGTGACTCGACGTCGCGGCCAGGAAAGGGTCGATGAGGCTCTGAAAGGATGGATGGAGTCCAAGACCGGGTGAGGGAGTCCAGGACCGCCGGGTGAGGGAGTCCAAGACCGGGTGATGGAGTCCAAGACCGGGTGAGGGAGTCCAAGATCGGGTGATGGAGTCCAAGACCGGGTGAGGGAGTCCAGGACCGGGTGAGTGAGCCCAATGGAGCAACGAGAAGGACGGCATGATAACATCAATAATAAGCGGGGCATCCTGGAGGTAAAGAGGGATATCCGAGCGCAAGAGGGATATCCGAGCGCAAGAGGGATATCCGAGCCGCGCGCTCGGCCCGTGCTCAGACGCTCTCCCGCTCGCGTTTGAACACTCTCCCACTGTTCGCGTTTGAACACTCTCCCACTGTTCGCGTTTGAACACTCTCCCGCTTGCGTGCAACGCT